AGGCGGGGATGGCACGGCCTGGCAGCCCTCCCGGCAGCTGCTGCTGCATCCCAGGCCTGGGGCTGCAGCTGGGAGAGGGAGGAGAGTGTTGAGGACCAGGAGAGGTCGGAGTGGCCACCTCCCCCAGGGAGGTGAAGGGCCCCGTGTTGTTGGGCAGAGGGTGATAACACTTTGGTCCTGGGAGCAGAGCCAGGGGTCCTTGTCCCTGCAAGTGCCAGCGCAGATCCCTGGTTCCCAGGAGGCAGGAGAAGCCTCTGCTCATGGTGCCTCTCCCAGGTGAGCTGCTTGGGTCCCCAGCCTGTCCCCTGAGGCCCAGGGCATCTCTCCTGTGTGAGAGCAGAGTGTTCCCAGCTGGGGAGCAGGGAGGGGAAAGCCCTGAGCTCCCCCCCCCAAGCACCTGATGGCAGAGCCCTGCAGCCTGTCAGTCCTGGGGAAGGCAGACAAGCCCTAGAACTGTTCTCCTCCTGCACAGCCAGGCAGGCTGGGACACAGGTCTCCTCACCCTCCACAAGGAACGGGGCATTACTGCCCAGAGCAGCCAGTAAGAAACCCCTCAGCACTGGAGCAGCCAGCAGGTCCCCCTCAATGTCCCCAGTGCCCCCGGGGTAAGTGGCAGCTGCAGCTGAACCCCACAGCTCCCTCCTGCAGCTCAGGAAGGTCTCCCAGCCCATCCCAGGATCTGCCAGCTTTGCCACCCATCTCATCCCACCTCCAGCACTGGCTGGGGACGTGGCCAGAGGCCTGGCTTGACCTTGCTGTGTGGCCAGTCTCCAAGAAGAAGCCACCAGCTTAGTGCTGTCCCCAGAGAGCAGCCACAGGGCAGCAGGTGCCCTGCCTGCCAGCAGCAGCAGCAGCAGCAGGAGCAGCAGCAGCAGCAGGGGCAGCAGCAGCAGGCAGGGAACAGCTCTGGAGCTTCCAGAGCCTCACATCTCTGGGGAGAGCTGGGCCCCACACCAGGAGGGCACTGGGGACCACTTGTGTGATGGGATGGTAGGGGCCAAGCTTGGGATGATGCTGAAGGGCTTGAGAGCTCTCCAGTCACTTGGGAAAAGAAGGGAAATGGGCAGGGATGGAGGGAGGGAGTCGTAGAGTAGGAAAAACAAGGCAGGTCTGTGGGGGCTGAATGGGATGGGCCAGCTGGGGGTGAGCACGTGGAGCATCCCAGGTGGTCGGGATGCAGGAGTGAAGCAAAACTGGAATCCAGCAGCTCCAGATCTTCTGCATCTGCTTCACCTGGCTCTAAACCTCCCCCAGGAAGAGCCCAGAGCCACGGGGCTGCCCGGGCTCTGTGCTCAGCACTGAGGCACCACCAGTGGTCCCTGCTCCAGGCCAGGGAACAGCTGGGTGGGCTCTCCCCAGCTTGTCCCCCAGCACAGCACCCACCCCAGGGCCCCAGCCCTGCTCCCACCTGCAGGAGAGGAGCAACCACTGGAGGCCTTCTGAATATGCATGAGGTGCAGGTTGCTCAACAGTCACGTCTGAGAAACGTCCAAATATTTACACAAACAATCCTGCACTCGAAGGAACCTCCTGGAAACAGCCCTTAATCTCAGCAGGGATGCAAGGGAGGGCACTGAGCTCCTGGCAGGGCAAGGCAGGCAGGGCTGGGGCAGCAGCTGGAGCCAGGGGGGGTGGGTGGGCTGGGAGGGTGGGCAGCCCACCCAGCCCTGCTCCTGCTGGCCCTGCTGCTCCCTGTTTGCACCCAGTGCCAGGGAGCAGATTGGGCAGCAGCAAGAGGGAGATGCATCCAGGCCAGCTCTGATGGCAGCTCAGAGTGACCTCAGAGGTGAAGGACAGGTCTGCTTATGCCTCCTCTTCCCCAGGCACTGGCAGGGATACCTGGCAGGTCCTTTCTGCTTCTTGCAGTACAGAAACAGCCTAAGGGCTGTGTCCAAAAGCACCTCCAGAAACCTCAGCTCCTCTCAGGAACTTGAGAGCCTCAGCAGGAGCTGGGACAGATCTCCCCAGCATCATGTCACAGGCCACAGGGCTGTCTCCAGCCTCCCCATGCAGAGCATCACCAGCAGCAGCCACCTCTGGGCTCCAGAGCAGCACAACTTCCCAGACAGACCCATCCCCAGACTGCAGAAGTCTTTCCACACACGAGGTGGTTTTCATGTAGGGTCTCAGCCCTGTACCAGAAGAGGGTCCTGGAGCACATTCCTGCCTTGCCAGCAGCAGGGATGTGCCCACATCACTCACATATGTGCAAACACACACACATGACACACACACAGACATGACACACACACACAGACACAGCACCAGGGGACACAGCCCTCTCCTCCCAGGAGGTTTCTCCTCCCACACAGTCAGTTTTCTGCACAGCTCTTGTCCTCTGCTTGCAGGGCACCCAGGGAAGGGACAAAGTCACCTCTCCCCTGCCTTGTCCCTCTCCTCAGCCGGGCTGACTCTGCAGGATGCAGTGGGATCTCCTCCAGCCCTCCTGCATTCCCTTGCCCGTGCCTGGGCTGAGCAGCAGCTCGGGGGGCAGCACTTGGGGCCTGACACGTCCCTTCCCAGGGCAGGGACTGGCCCCAAAGCCCAGGGGCTTCAGAGCCCAGACTCAGAGATGAAGCCCCCTTTTGTGCCCTGTAGCTCCCACGAAACCACAGCCTCACAGAAGAGCTGGAAAGTCCCCCTGGAGCTCTTAGCTCTGCCTCCTCACACCCTCCCTCCAGGTACTTCTGTACCCTGACCAGCTCCCCCTGAGCCTTCTCCTCTCCAGGCTCCAAAGCACAATGAGTCCAGGTCTGTAGGGCATTTGGATCCAGAGGCTGCAGATCTAGAGAAGAGGGACAGACCCCTCAGAAGTTTCCTGCAGCAGCTGCAGCCCTGGGGGCTGCCAGGAGGGGCTCAGGGGCTGCCAGGAGGGCTCAGGGGCTGCCAGGAGGGGCTCAGAGGCTGCCAGGAGGGGCTGCCAGACCAGCCCGGCACGTTATTAATAGTGTGCAGGGGTGCAGGGTCCCCACTGCTGCTCAAGGGAACTGGAAACTGGAACGTGGCCTGGATGGCTCTGGGGGCTGGATCCAGGGAAAGGGGCTGGATCCAGGGAAAGGGGCTGGATCACCTCCAAGCTGAGAGCAACGTGGGTGCAGCAAAACCAGCAGCAGCTCCCCCAGCAGTGCCCTCAGTGCCGGACACACAGCCCTGCCAGGGCAGCCCCTCCCAGCAAACGCTTCAGCCCAAACCTTTTGGGTTTTGTTTTCCAGAAATGTGGCCACCGGGGCTGCCACAGCCCTCCCGCCACAGCCCTCCCCCCCTGCCACAGCCCTCCTCCCCCAAGAAAAGAGGCACAAATCTCCCCCAGCCTTGCACCTCCTCTGGGGCTCCCAGCACCCTCAGCTGTGAGAGCTGCCACAAGGCACCCCTGGTCCTCAAGAAGCAAACCCATTTCAAGAAGCAAACCCATGTCCTGCCCACCTTTCTTTTTCTTTCTTTCTTTTTTTTTTTTTTTTTAAATTTATTCTTTTTCCCCCAAGAAGAGGCTGCACCAAACAACCTGAGGGCCAGTCCGACCTGGTATCAATTGTCACAAGAGATTCAGGCCAAGTTATTCCTGCCTGGTGAGCCCTGCCCAGCAGCCCCAGC